GTGAGATATTCACTGATCATAAAAGTCTGAAGTATATTTTCACTCAAAAATAATTGAATATGAGGCAAATGCGATGGTTGGAGCTATTAAAGGACTATGATTTGACTATCAATTATCATCCGGCCGAATAGAGAATAATTTGGTGTGAGTAAATCATTTAAAAAACAGAAACAAAATGTAAAATTATAGCAAGATAATCATAACCACGGTACAAAATAGAACAGAGAGCCAATGAATCTATGACAAACAGAGGGTCACAAAGTAACTAATCAGAGGCCAAAGGTTATTTAAGTCCCCTAAGGCATGAGACCGTCAGAGGGTCAATAAAATGACAATTCAAAGGGCCAATGGTTATTTAAGTCCCCCAAGGCATGGGACCTCCGTGGTGGTATTTATAAAATAATTACTCAAAAACACATTTAATAAATAGCGATATTCATGGGTTTCCATTTTTTTTTAAACAAATAGGGTTCACAAATAAATAACATAGTTAAAATGTTAATATAATATGATTGGCATAAAATAATTCATAAAACAATAAAACAATTTATGCTTACTCAAGGTATAATATAATTCAACTTAATATTAATCCTTTACTTTTACTTCTCCATTTACCAAAACTCCCTTCTTTTGCTGACTGACCACACTTTCCCTTGTTCCGCTCTTCCTTGCTCCATGCACCCATTTATAGGTGCTTTACTAGCACTTGATTCAATTCATTTGGCCAAAGTACGACGTGGCATCACCCCGTGGCCATCTCCTTAATTGCCCCCCAAGGCATGTTTATGCCCTTAAGGCTTCCTTATCACTTAATTCTCTCTTTTTTTTTAGTTAAACACATTGGCTGCTAACTTAAATTAAATTACATTTTAGTACATATAACTATTAAATTAAATATATTAACGCGGTGTTAAAATTAATTAAACATTTGGGTGTCATAGTATACCTCTTTAGTGAGATGACCATTAAGAAAAGCATTGTTAACATCCATCTGATAATGAGGCCAATGACGAACAGCAGCAACAAAAATCAAAGTACGAACAATAGTCATCTTGGCAATAGGTGCAAAGGTCTCCTCATAATCAATACCATACTCTTGTGAGAAACCATTGGCAACCAGGCAAGCTTTGTAGCGCTCAAGGGAACTATCAAAATGAGTCTTGACTTTTGTAAAACCCAAGTTTTGTATATAATTATTTTTGGATAGATTAGTAATTAAATTAATTTATGTGGGTCATTTAGTAATATCAAGGAATTAGTTATGAGATGATATTATATAGGTAATTTTGTAATTTTGAGAAACTAGGTTAATAAACCCACATGTTTTGCTTCAAGTCTAGGAGAGAAGAGAGAAAAAAAAAACAAAATAAAACAAAATAGAGGCTGGTGAATTGTAGTGAAGGGTTCTGGAGGCAGCAAGGGTTTGAAAAAGTAGCAAAGAAAAACAAAGAGAGAGGTTCAAGTATTCAACCATTGACTGGGGTAAGATTCTTGTATCACCATCAAGTTATTAATTTTCGTTTGATAAAATAAAAAATAAAAAAAAGGGCCGAAGCTTTATGTAACCTATAAGTGCCTATTCGGTTTTGAGAGGTTGATGAATGGACTCACGTATGGTGTGTGTGGTCTAGGTAAAGAGTAGAAAATGTGGAGCAATTTGGGTGGGTGTGTTTTGACTTTTGGGTTTTGTACATTGGGTAAGGTATGTTTGGCTATTGAATTGGGTGGATTGATTTGGTGTCTCTTGGATTTTAAGTATATATATATATATAATGGGTTCTTGTTGATGTGTGAAAGACATCAAAGTATTAATTTATTTGAGGTTCTATTGTTAGGTTTGTGTGATTGAATTAGTGGAGCTGGGTGTCTAGAGGTAGTGTGGTGGAATATTATTTTAAGCGTTTGAGGTAAGTAACCCTCTATCACTGTTAGTACATTTTTATTCTTATTGAATCGTTTAAAATTATAAGTATTTATTCATAGCCTTCATGTTCTCTTAAAATAAAATATGGGTCAAGTATAAAAAGCATCGAATATTGTTATGAAAATTATTTGAATAGTTTATGGAACTATTCTGAAAATTGTACTAAACGTTTATTCTGAAAATATCAAATATTTTATTTAAAATTTGTGTATTGTTTGAATTTTGAACATCACTCTAGTCTGACTATGATTTAGATCCTAGCCAACGGGAGTTATTTATTGGCACAGAAATTAGTTTCTTTTGGGGCTTTACCATCGGCCTATGTGTGGTTCTGGGCCTTATCACGAGCTAAGTGATCGTAGTCACCAAGACTTGGGTTTTGTGAATCAAATCATTGAACCATCTGAATATCGAACCATCGATTTGAACAACGAATTTACTTTGAATTATCTTGTTGGCTTTTCAATTAAAATGTATTGTACATTGTTTATTTTTAGTTATGAAACCACCTTACAAATAATTGTTGATACATTGATTTGTAGCGAAAATTATATTTATTGGTTATCGACTATTTATTTTTATTTTTTTTATATACTTGATCCAGCTAGCAGTGATGGTTGGTTATTCACTAGGCTCTCTAGCTTACCCTTATTTTTTTTTTCCCGATTCTAAGGAGTAGAGATACGCCGGATTTTTACTTGTGGGAGTGTCGAGAGTAAGACTATGATTTAAGTACTTGGATTATTGTTTTGTTAGTGGATTTTATTAGTGGACTTGGTGGACAATTTCATATGATAAGAATTGTCAATTTTTTATGGATTTTAGCATTATGATAATTAAGGATTTAATTTGAGTATTTTACATTGTTGCTTATGTGTTGGACACTTAGGCTTGCATGCTCACTTAAATGAGTGTGCGGCGTTGTCACAGAGCTTGGGGTGTGACAACTTTGTAGACCCATTTGCAACCAATCAGATTCTTGCCAGCAAGCAAAGGAACCAATTCCTAAGTACTAGTCTTCTGCAAGGTAGATAATGCATCCTCCATAGCTTGAATTCAATTAATATTCTGACAAGCCTCCTTGTAAGACTGTGGTTCTGAAAAAGATTGAATAACAGACAAAAACGTACAGTATGAAGGAGAAAAACATGTGTTAGAAAAACCAAGTTTGACTACCTGTTTAGAAATGCGAAAGGGATACTTACGGAGGGCAACATCAGACTCGTCAAAAGTAAGAGGAGCAACAGTAGAGGTAGAGACAACTGGTGAAATAAGAGCCTTGCAATGAGAATAGACTAACAACGAAGGAGGAGGAGCCGGCGGGGGAGGAGAGGAGAAGAGGAAACAGACTCATAGGGTACATTAGAGAGGGACTTAGCATAAGGGGTGTTATGATGAGAAGAATGAACAAACTCATGGGAAACAGTAGAGATGTACTTATCAGGAGGGACCTCAGAAGGAAACGGATCAATGTGAACCAAATCCTCTTTAGAAATTAGAGCAATGAGAGGCAAAAGCTGAAAGTAAGTGAGACATTCCAGAAAGGCAACATGATGGGAGACGTAAAGATGACGGGAAATAGGATCGTAACAGTGATAACCTTTCTGAGAAAGACTGTAATCCAAAAAGACACAGAGGATAGATCAGGCACTAAGTTTTGTCCTATCTTTTTGGAAAGGAAGGACAAAACACGCAGATCCAAAAACATGAAGGAAAGAATAATTGGAAAGGTGAGAAAACAGAGCCTCATAAGGAGAACGACTAGATAGTATGGGTGTAGGCATTTGGTTGAGAAGAAAAGCAGCTATAAGAATGGCTTCCCCCTAAAAGGGAGCTGGAACATAAACAGAAAGAATGAGAGACCTAGTTGTCTCAAGAAGATAACGGTGTTTAGGCTCAACACGACCATTTTGAGTGGGTGTATCAATACAAGAGGTTTGGTGAATGGTACCAAAATTTTCTAAATACTCACAAAACTCAGTTTTAAAATATTCTTCACCTAAGTCAGGCCGTAATCATTTAATGGTAGAATCAAACTGTGTAGTAATCATAGATTGAAAGGTATGGTATATTTGGTAGAAGTCAGATTTGTGAGTCATAAAATAAACTCAAGTATAGCAGGTGCAATTATGACAACCCCACTACGTATTATATTTGGCATTTAATTATTTAAGGAGATTTGGATTTTAATTAGTCGTTATTCTAATTTAATTTGGGATTTACAAGGATTATGGAGCCCAATCGGTAAGTGATTTTAATAATGATTTATTTTTAGATTAGAAATTGAAGGTCCTAATGGCCTAAGGAAGTGAAATTAATAAGTTGAATCAATTTAATTTTAAATACGGACCCATTTGGGAGTTTAATTAATGTTTGATTCAGTTTAGTAAAATCAAGATTTGATTAATTGGGTCCAAATTAGAGTTAATTAAGTTAATTGTGTTATAAGGTTTGAGAAATTATGATTATTATGAATTAAATCTATTTATGAGATATCCAATTTGAATATGTAAATTATTGACAAGGATTTTGGGTTTGATTTGAAATTGAAGGTCTTAGTGATTTACGAAACCAAAATTGATGATGATAATAAGTTTAATTTGATATTTGGAGCCTTTTGGGTTATTGATTAAAAATCTAATTTAGATTGATAAATTTAGTTATGATTGATTGGGCCTTAATTGAAGTCAATTAGGCTAATTGAGTTATATTGGAATTGGAATTCACCAAATCAAGATTAAACATGATTAATTGTGATCTAATTAAACTAATTATGTAATTGAGAGTTATATTAATCCTACCCACGTGATTAATTGCGAAGTTGTTTGCCAACGTATTTTATATTGATCAATTCATAAAATAAAGAGGAGCTAGAGCCTTGCATATGTGTGTATATTATATTTGTGTTAAAGTCAAGAGTGGGAGTATTGAGAAATTTGGTAGGTGCGCAGGGAAATCAGATGTGTATGTGTATAGGTGTTGTGCTGGAGGCTTAAAACAAGGTGCACGTGTGCATTGTGGTCAGCAAAAAAAGGAGTGTATATGTGTGTGTATGTGTTGAAGAGTCTAAGTGAGACTCATTTGGGTTCATATAACAAGGACAAGTGTCCCACTAAGTAAAATAAAATAAAAAGAAAAGAAAAGAAAAGAAGAAGGAAGGAAATCAGAAAGAAGGGGATGTAAGTGTGCTGGAAGCAACCAAAGGAAAGAAGGAGAAACCGAGAGAGAGAGAGATAAGAGAGAGAACTCAAACCATTGTGCCGGAAAAAGCTTTGGAGAAGTGGGTTCAAGAGATCTAAGTGAAGATAAGAAAGGGAACTCAAGGAATTAAAAAGAAATTCAGCCATTGAAAACTTAAGGTAAGGATTTCAAGCTTAAATTTTGTAGAATCCTTGTATTATACTTGAATTAAAGGTGAGTTTGGGTTCAAAGTTCATATAATTTGGAAGAAATTAAGTTAGGTTCATGGTTATAGAAATAAATTATTTTGGGTTTGATGATGTAGTCTTGCATGGGATTAAACCTCATTGTTACATGCATGGGCAAATTCTACAAGTTTAATACTCTAATTAAACATGTATCATAGGATTTCAAGGTTTTGAGATTTTATTTCATGTTTAAAAGGTTTATGGGTTTGAAATTGGGTTTGATATGAAGAAAATTAATAAAAACCCAAATTAGAGCAATTCTAATTAAAATTATTTAGTTTTGATCTTAATTTCATACATGCAAAGTTTCAAAACTCTAATTTCATGATTTAAAGGAAAATAGAAAAGAGTTAAGAATCAATTTCATGTAATTTAAAAGAAATTAGTAAAAGGATGAAGAAATTGATTTAAATTCAATTGTAGAAATTAAATTAGTATTGACCATTTTGTGGGTTTGATTTTTGTTGTCTTTGAAGAACTGATTTCACATAATGAAGAGAAAAAGAAAGTTTTGTAAACATATGTTTATGGAAATTTGGAGTTTAATCTTGAATTAAAAGAGTTTGGATGTAAATGGTTAGAAATTAATCATGTTTTCTTGATAGTTTAAAGAGTTTATATGGTTTTAACAAAGTTGTGCAAGACCCCAACACTACAAGAAAAGTGGGTATATGAGACGGGACTATTTGCGACGGCGCACTTGCCGTCTCAAAAAGTCACTTTTTGCGACGGCAGAAAATGCCGTCTCAAAAAAGCAGAGTATTTGCGACGGCACCATTTGCCGTCTCAAAAAAGCATAGCATTTGCGACGGCACAATTTGCCGTCTTAAAAAATGAGAGCATTTGCGATGGTATTTTCTGCTGTCGCAAATACTCTATTTTTTTGAGATGGCAAATTGTGCCGTCGCAAATGCTCTGCTTTTTTGAGACGGCAAATGGTGTCGTCGCAAATATTCTGCCTTTTTGAGACGGCATTTTCTGCCGTCGCAAAAAGTGACTTTCGTGTTTTTTTTTTAATTTTTAGTGAATATTTTTAAAATTTTAAATATTTTTTTAGATGCACCTTACTTGGATGTATCTAAAAAAAAATTATGAAAAAATATTTTTAAAAATTAATAAATACATAAAAATACTAAAAAAAATGTATTGAATTATTGTATTTTTGGTATTTAGTGAATTTTTAAAATATTTTTTTTACAATTTTTTTAATTTTTAGGTGTATTTATGTTAGGTGTGTCTAAAAATTAAAAAAAATACTTAAAATATTAAAAAAAATCAGTAAAAATAATATAACACGGAGAGCAAGAAAGTATAATTTTCTCAAAAGAGTTTTTGGAAAACTCTAACCTAACATAGTGATTGTGGTTTTGAGACAACTTCATATATATACAGTCACAAAATTGTTTGAATAATTTCTAGTACTTTTTTCTGTCGCAATTTTTTTTTTAAAAAATAATATATTCTTACTCTTTTGATGTAACGTTTCTCTTTTCATTCATTTTTTCATCTTCATGTCTCTCTGTCTTTATCTCTCTCTCTTCTCTTTATCTCTTTCACTCATCACTCTTCTTTCTCTATCAGTCAGTTTCTCTCGCTCATTTTCTCTTTGCGTCTCTCGCCTATCTCTCTTCTCTCTATCTCTCTCATTTGTTTTCTCTCTCTGTCTCTCTCGCTCATCTCTCTTCTTTCTATCTCTCTCATTTCTTTTCTCTCTTTTTCTTATCTTTTTATCTCTTTCGCCCATTTCTCTTCTCTCTCTGTCTCGCTCTTTTTCTCTGTCTCTCTCGCTCATCTCTTTTCGCTCTATTTCTCTCTCTTTTTGTCTATTTCTCGCTCATCTCTTGTTTCTCTCTCTTTTTCTATCTTTCCCTCTATCTCTATCTCTCTCTTTCTCTCTATCTCTTTTTCTGTCTATCTCTCTCTCTCCCTATCTCTCTCTCACTCATCACTCTTCTCTCTCTACTTGTCTATTTGTCTATTTCTCCCTCACTATGTTCGCCTTGCTCACTCTCTTACTCCAATCTTCTCTATTTATCGAGCTCCTTCTCGATTTATTGATCCACTATAAACGACGTTGCCTTACTCTTTTAAACATTTCTCTTTTCACCCATTTTTTCATCTTCCTATCTCTCTGTCTCTGTCTCTCTTCTCTTTCTCTCTCTTACTCATCACTCTTCTCTGTCTGTTTGTCTCTCATTTTCTCTATGTGTCTCTCTCTCACTCATCACTCTTCTCTGTCTGTCCGTTTTTCTCTTTCTCTCTGTGTCTCTGTCTCTCTTCTCTTTCTCTTTCTCACTCATCACTTTTTTTCCATCTGTCTGTCTCTCTTTTTCTCTGTATCTCTCATCCATCTCTCTTCTCTCTATCTCTTTCATCTATCTTCTCTCTCTGTCTCTCTTCTTTTTTTCTCTCTCGCTTTCTCGCTTATCTCTTTCTGTCTCTCTCTCATTTATCTCTTTTTGCTCTTTTTTTTTTCTCTCTCTCTGTTTCTCTCTTTGTCTATATCTTTTCACCCATTTTTTCATCTTTTTCTCTCTATTTTCTTTCTCTCTCTCATTCATCACTCTTTTCTCTCTGTCTGTCTATTTGTCTCTCTCTCTCTCTTTCTCTCTCTGTGTCTCTCATTCATCTATCTCTTTTCTCTCATCTCTTTTCTCTCTCTCTCTCTGTGCCTCTCACTCATCGCTCTCTCTCACCACTCATCTCTTCTACCACCTTTACCACTACTGCAAATGCCAATTCATTACCACTACTACTACCACGGTTGTCATTTCACCTCTGCGACTACCATTACTACTACCACTACTACCACTCAACTACCACCACTACCACTATTGCCACTACTACTACTACTACCATTACCTCTCTTTCACCCCTGCTACTCCATCTACTCTACTACTACCACAACTTCACCACTAATCTCCTTCGTCATCACCACCACCACCACCACCACCACCACCGCCACCATCATCTCTTATCCACCACCTTCATTACTACTGTCGGTTCCTCTTCTCTACCACAAAATATTACCTCTCTTCTCTCTTTCACTCATCACTCTTGTCTCTCTCTCTCTCTCTCTTTCTCTCTCTGTGTCTGCTTGTCTGTCTCTCGCTCTTCTCTCTCTCTCTCTTTCTTTCTCTCTATGTGTCTGTCTGTCTGCTTGTCTCTCTCCCCCATTGTGTTCACCTTGCTCACTCTCTCCCTCATCTCTTCTCTATTTACCGAGCTCTCCACTACAAGAAAATGCACTTTTAGCGACCACTTTGCCTTGCTCTCTCGCTCATCACTTTGTCTCTGTCTGTCTGTCTCTCTCTCTTTCTCTCTCTCTATCTCTCTTCTCTATCTGTCTCTCACTCATCTCTCTCTCACCACATATCTTCTCTACCACATTCACCACCACTGCAAATGTCATTCCATTATTACCACTACTGCCACTACAAATGCCACATTGACCACAAAAAATTAACTTTATTTTAATGAAAAATATTATTCCTACTTCTACCAAATAAAAAAATAATAATAACTTTTTATTCATTGAAATAAATATGAAACAAATAAATTTTCAACCTTACTAAATGAAAAAATAAAAATAAAAATTCATTAACTATAAAAAAAATTATTTTTATTGCAAAAAAAAAATCATTTTATTATTTAAATATTTATTTGTAATGAAAATAAAAATAAAAAAAAAATCCAAAAAAATTTCCATGGCCACCCCCCTCCTCTTTCCATTCCCACCCGGTTCCCCCCTCCCTCTTTCCATTCCCGCTCCCCCCCTCCCCAAAAACCCAAAATCCCTAATCTGTTTGTTGTTTTCCATTCCCCCTCCCCCCAAAAACCCAAAATCCCCAATCTGTTCAGTCTTTGATGAGGCAACCAGGCAAAGAAAAGAGAGAGAGAGAGAGAGAGAAAAGATCATCGATCTCGTCTACTCCCCGCCCTCTCTCTCCCTCTCTCTCTCTCTCTCATTCATCCTCTTCAAACCCTAATTTCTGCCTCCGATCCACCTCTCGTCGCTCAATCTTCCACCTCTTGTTTCTCGTTGTGTTTGGAAATCTAGGTTTTTTTTTCTGTGAAACCCTAAGAATTAATTGAAGAGGGAGGGAGGGAGGGAGAGAGAGAGGTTTGATGGCGCAAAATGGGCAGGGGATGGACCCTGCAGTTCTTGATGACATCATTAATCGGCTTTTGGAGTTTCGGCAGGCGAGGAGTGTACGCCAGGTCCAGGTCCATCTCTCCGAGGCCGAGATCCGTCAGTTTTGCACTGTTTCGAGAGAAATCTTCCTCCAACAACCCAATCTCTTCGAGCTCGAAGCCCCCATCAAGATCTGCGGTAAAAGTTTCATATTTTTCTTTGTTTATGTTATGTAACTCTGTATTTGTTTGCTGTTGGTTTTGGGTTTGTAAGATATTTGTTTGTTTGTGGGTTGTTCTTATCTTGGTTACACACATACATATATCCGTAGTTGTTTTTGTTTTTGGTCTGTTTTTGAATAGGCTTTGATGATCTCTTTGCCACTGTGACATTTCTACTCCAAAATTCTCCAGGATCTGTTTTCATAACAACCCATCACAATATAAGGTATTTTTCATATATTTCATATAATGTGATTTTGTGTTGGCAGTTTACATTTCAACAATGTTAATCTTTGAATTTTATTAAAAATGTATTATGTATTTATATATTTGTTTTGTTTTGTTTTGTGCAGCGGGCATCATCTAATTGAGTTCTTGATGGCGAAGTGGGGGTTGAAGTGCATGAAACTTCTTGACGGCTTTTCATTTATGCCATCATACAAGGCATTTGGGCTAAGTGGCAATATTCAATTGGCAGAAATTGTTTTGAATAATGAAGAGGTCATGTGCCAAAAATTAGCAGTAAAATGCTGAATGGTGACGCAGCCTCTCTGATTTTTAACATTGCTCCATAGCCATATGACAATTAGTTCAATTCACCTCAGCGGCTTTTTATTTGTGGATTGCTGCTCCTTTCATTTATTGAGGTTTCCTGTTTCTTAGAAGCCAATTTCTGCATGTGAAATTTTAGATCTTGCAACTTTTTTATACCAAATTATTTCACGACAGACATACTGTTTGTATATTTTATGCCTTGACAAGACTTTTTAGTTACAACAGGTTAGTTTGGGATACTTTCTTGCATCTACTCGAATGAATGTTACAATTTTCGTACAAGGTTTTGAGCTTGAACTAATGAATGTTTCTAATGAGATTGGATATTATTTGATCATATGACTGGCTATTTATTGTAACTGACACTTTCTAAGTATTTGAGGTCTTTGCTGTTCTAAGAAGTCAACTATTGCATTAATGATCTTCCCAATTATACTTCTGGAGTTATATAGATTGTTGGTTGGTTTTGGTAGTTAGTTGAGTTGAGTTAGTGTTTCCTCCAACACAATATCGGGCTCTATTACAAAACCAGGTTTCTTTCTAAATTGGGAGCTTTGAGGATCTTGGGTTGGTCTTCTCATGGCACATATTGGTGGGCATCATTTCTCTGGAGGGTCTCTATCAGGTTTGAGATTTTTATGTATTCAAATTAAATCCTATCATATGATTTTGCAATTAGTTGGAGTGTTTAATATCCCAATGGTGGTAAGAAGTCAACTATTGCATTAATGATCTTCCCAATTATACTTCTGGAGTTATATTGATTGTTGGTTGGTTTTGGTAGTTAGTTGAGTTGAGTCAGTGTTTCCTCCAACACAACATCGAGCTCTATTACAAAACCAGGTTTCTTTCTAAATTGGGAGCTTTGAGGATCTTGGGTTGGTCTTCTCATGGCACATATTGGTGGGCATCATTTCTCTGGAGGGTCTCTATCAGGTTTGAGATTTTTATGTATTCAAATTAAATCTTATCATATGATTTTGCAATTAGTTGGAGTGTTTAATATCCCAATGGTGGTGGTTTATTGCTTATTGTTTGTGCCCACTTCACTACCAATTATAAGTGGTTGGAACTAAGAATTATGTAATGAAGTTTTTTGACTGAAACTTGTTCTTTAATTGCTCTCTGTTTGGTTGGTCTACCATAATTAGAGACCTAGTATTTCAATATCTTGGCACTAAAGAAAATAAATAAAATAATTAAGGCTCAAGCAAGACCAGTTGAATTCCTTGTTTAGTTAAATAAGATCCAGTTGTTAAATAAAATACGATACTTCTAAATTCATGTTTGTTTTACTTTCCTCAAAATTTGGTGGTGAAAAAGCATTATAAGCTCCATTTTATTCAGTTTTTTTTGCATTAGCTTGTCCAGATGACGCTGATTGAATCACCACTACTTGTGCCTGATTCTTGGGCTATTATGGGGTTATTATAGAAACGTGAGTCTTGGGCTATTAAAGCAGTTGAAAATACATGAACAGTGCTTCTTTGCTCTCTTATTAAAACTTGTCAGTCATTTAAAGGATTTTTAATCTCTATGGTTGTTACTTGCTATGTCATACTCCCATCACATGCTGGAGGTTTGGTGGCTTATCTACTCCATGTTTTAATTTGTTCACCTATCAGTTAATCAATTCAATGGAACTATTATTGACAAAGATACTTGGAATCCATAAATAAACAGAGGCATATTCTTATGTTCACCTTATTTAAATTATTTGCTGTACTAATTATGCATTGTATATCTAAGCTTATCTACTAATCTAAAATTTGAATGAAAATATGTTCTTGGAACTCTTTCTATTGCCTTACTTTGATCACTGTTGTGGGTAATGGTTCTCTAATCTTGTTTTTTCAATAGCTGTGGCACCACCTAACCTATTACAAAATCATAAAAATCATCTTTTTCCTAGTGCTTACCATGAAAATTAATGGTATAACTTTCTTAATAAGGGATTGAAGTAGTACCTGATTGCTTAGTTTTTGAACATAATAAATATACTAATTATGCATTGTATATCTAAGCTTATCTACTAATCTAAAATTTGAATGAAAATATGTTCTTGGAACTCTTTCTATTGCCTTACTTTGATCACTGTTGTGGGTAATGGTTCTCTAATCTTGTTTTTTCAATAGCTGTGGCACCACCTAACCTATTACAAAATTATAAAAATCATCTTTTTCCTAGTGCTTACCATGAAAATTAATGGTATAACTTTCTTAATAAGGGATTGAAGTAGTACCTAATTGCTTAGTTTTTGAACATAATAAATATACTCACAGCACAGTAATTAATTTTAATGTGTGATCACTGTGTGCATGGAAATTATAAATAGAAATCTTTTTTTTTTTTTGCTTTGAAGTTAACTCTCCTTGACAACCACATTTCATTATACTTTTAAGGCCCTGTTGTCCCTCCTCAATGTTACTTTCCACAGTCTTATATTTCCTATTCTGTGTTAATTTCTAAGCATTGTTTGACAAATTTGCATAAATGACCAAAATGTTATTTTTTATGTAGTCCATATGATCTCAGTTTTCATTTTCACACCCTTCTTTGCCTTTCACCAATGAAACCACCTTTTTTTTTATATTATTTTTTTTACTTTTCACTTGCAATTAATACAGGGAAATATTCTTTATCGATTTCCATCACTACAACGTACAGCTTCTCCTCAGAGGAGTGGAAGGAAGGAATATCTTTTCAGGTATCAAACTCTGAATTTATTGTTCTACATTTCAATTTTTCACATATTACCATATGTATATTTATATGTTCTTCATGTTGATCATGTTGAATTTTTTTGTAAGCTTGTCTTAAAACCTTACAGACTAGTAGATTTTCAAATCATATTTGAATTTATGGGGTTGGTGAAATCAGATCTTCGAGCATTTAACCATTTTACTATTGCAGTATTGTTGTCCATTGCGAGAGTCCGGAAGTTTAGTGAGTGTTCAATCGGAATTTTGAAGACAACAATAACTACATCATACCGTGATTACAGTTTTTCCAAGTAAGGGTTGAAGGGTATTAAGTTCTATCTCATGTTTAAAGTTAATATAGTACAGTGGTAGTAATGTTGTAACCCAAGTTCAAATGAGTTTTTGTGGTGCTAATATGTTCCGTGGAAATTAAAGCTATCCAATTTGTTAAAATATGATTTTAGTGGAATTTAATTTGAAATTCTAGACTTTGTTGAGTTGAGCTGAATCAGGTTTGTGGGATTTTTAATTGAGTTCATCACGGCATGGATGGTAATCAAATGTAGTTATCTTGTATTCCAGGAAGCATGTTTAATTGGGTTAGTTTTGTAGGATTTAATTTCATGTACTAGTGGCCAATTAGTTTGAATTGTTGTGATATCATAGCCATATTAATGTAGTGGCTTTTATTTCAGACATTTGATGTTTGTCACCTGTTGCGGGATTGGTGTTTAGGTGTATGATTTTGTGACTTGGAGAACTGTCGGTGTGTCTTAATAATTTAGACTAATGATGGTTTCAAAGGATGCACATTTTAATTTTAAATTTTTTGTTTTAGTCTAGTTTTAATATAATCCTTATTTTACAGGGTTTGTAATTGGCTACCGGATGACTTGAAGGAAGAATATGTGCATAGTGTGAAAGTAGTGGAGAAGGCGGTGTTGAGAGCTGTAATTTTCCCTTGTTTTTCCATTCTGTTCATTTGAAATCATCTGTGCCATGGCAGACATGAAGATGTGAATAAGATATATGTTCTTATTGCTAAACTTTAGTGAGATGATGCTAGTGATGCCCTTTCTTCTGTTAGCTTTATATTATTGCTTAGTTAGTTTTTCTTGTACAATGTATGACAGCAAAAAGAAAAAAATGGAAGATCATTTTCATATTTTTAATTATGGATGAATTTTTATTTATATACTGGACTTTTTATATTATTATGTAATTATCGATTTTTTTTAAAGTTATTTTTCATTTAATACAGGTCATTTTCATAATTTTAATAATTTTATTACATTTTTTATTTTTTTATTTTTTTTTTGGAGACAACAGCACACACCGTCTCAAAAAAAAAAATTTGAATCAGGATTTTTTGCGACGGCACCTTTACTGTCGCAAAAGATAGGGAGTTGGTTGAAATGTAACGCCTTTAGCGACGGTTTTATTGCCGTCGCCAATAGTCCTTTAACGACAGTTCAGGGGCTGTCTCAAATAAACCTTTAGCGACGGTATTTTTTGCCGTCGCAAAAGACATTTTTAGCGACGGCAACACAGAGTCGTCTCAAAAAAACTCAGATTTTTACATGTTATTTGCGACAGAATTTTTCCGTCGCAAAAAGGGCATTTTGCCGTCGCAAAAAAACAATTTTTTTGTAGTGTTACCACTTTCAGGCAACATGTCAGGGCCAGCGCGTGGAGTATGTACAAAGCACTTCGTAGACATAATTTAGCTCTAACAATTTAATTAAATAGAAGTTTTAATGATTATTTTGATACCCTCACTTAAATATTATTTCTACTTACGTTTATTAATTTGTTCAAGAATTAGCCGTAAGTAACTTCAGTTACTGGCCATCATGATATTTAACCCTTAGGTACAGGGAGCGGGTCGTGACAAGATTAGTTTTTTGCTGTGTAATGTCTTTTTTGCCCTAATAAGATATAAAATTTGTTATTTTTTCATTTTTTTTAGTTTTAATTTATAAAAAATTATTTTATTAATTCATTACAATTAATATTCATGTATTTTGTTTCACTTATATCAATAATTTTTTTTCATTGCAATTAATAATATAAAAATTGTTATTTTTTTAATTTATTAATTCATTACAAAATATATCAATTAATATTTCTTTTTTTCTTTTTCTTTTTTTTCCTTCTCTTTTCTCCTCTTTCATCCGTACGCCATCAGTGGTCTGCAACCTTAGCTACCGCCGCGATCTAGAACGACAGAGAGGGAGCACTATTGATCATCATTGTTCACCCACCTAAACAATACCGGCGATGGGAATTGGTTTGTGAGAAATAGAGAGAGACAAAGAGATGACGACAGTAGATCGTGACAATGGTGACTATGGTTCAGATCACAATGCGTGAGGTTTTGCCTTGAGATCGCGATGATGGCGACTCTGGTTCAGATCGCTATGGCTCTAGAGAACAAACACACACACCGGAGAGAGAGAGAGAGAGAGAGAGAGAAGAAATCACCTCCAGACGTCGGAAATTGCGAATCATTGTTTGAGAGTAGTGAAAAGTGTTTTCATTGTTGTTTATAGAGTGGGCATTTGGTAATATTTGAGATTGATGAGGGGCATTTAAGTCATTTTGCCCCTCAATTCTAGTTTTCCGCTTAAGCTGATTCAGAAAAGCGTCTCCTCCCCCCTTAAAGAATAATCACCTTTTTTACTTAATTTAAGCTAAAAGCTGATCACTTAAATTACACCAAACACACAAAAACTACTTAAGTTAAGCGCTACCAAACGGAGCCATTGAATAAATGAACCAATTTTGAGTTGGTTAGTTCATGTGATAATAGGATGAAATAAAAAATTCATCGAAAAAGAAGGATGTATCGAATTTTATTTATTTATTTATTTTTAAAAATTTATTTTATTATTGTTATCTTTTTTAAAGAGATGAGACTTAAATCTTCGCACCAAATCACATGGCTTAAATGCTCTACTTTTATTCATCTCATAAATGACTAAATCTCTTCGAAAAGCTTATTATTTTAATCGGTGGTGCTACATACATCAATTTAGTGTATGCACTAGTGTACCAACTAGTGTTATTATATCATTAATGACCATATTTATTATCCAAATTACAAATACCCAAAATCTCTAAAATTATACTACATCATCTATTAATATTAATATACTAGTTAATATATTAATTGATACATAAAACATTATTCAATAAATAATAAACTCACCAAACACATTTGTTGAGGCTAAATTACACCAAACACACCTCTTTATCTTCGTCCTTGAAAGGTCGACGCGGTTTGCAAGTGTGGCCAACGCCTCGCCACTTGACTAAATTAATATTACGAAATTAATACCCAATTTACCGAAGCCGTGTTTCCTTCTTTATTTTAGAGTGATTTTATTTACATCATTAATATCTCTTTACACAGTTTATATAAAAAAAAAAAAAAAAAAAAAAAAAAAAAAAAAATTGGAAATTTTTACTTTGATTATAGTGATTTTGACTTATCCCCTGTTTCTTTGACTTGATTGTCTTTCAGTTTCATTGTATGGGTTTTCAATTCTCTGTTCTAAAAACTTGAATTGCTGTGAAATTTGAATGATTTTGAGTTAATTTTCAATGCTCTGTTTTAAGTTTTTCTGGGTTTTCATTACAGAGTGTGGTTCCATTGAATACATGGATTCTCATATCAAATTTCAAGGTTGCTTACAGCATGCTCCGCCGTGCCGACGGCACAATCAACCGTGACCTGGCGGAGTTTCTCGACCGGAAAGTCGCCGCCAATGCAATCCCAGTCGCCGGCGTATACTCTTTCGACGTGATCATCGATCGATCAGTCGGCCTTCTCAACCGAATTTACAGGCCATCACCGGAAAATGAATCTCAATTTGGCGTCGTAGAACTCTTAAACCCATTGAGCACCGATGAAATCGTCCCCGTAATCATCTTCTTCCACGGTGGAAGCTTCACTCACTCCTCCGCCGACACCGCCATCTACGACACCTTCTGCCGCCGCCTTGTCGGCCTTTGCAAGGCCGTCGTGGTGTCCGTGAATTACCGGCGATCGCCTGAACACCGGTATTATTTGTGGGATATTTTGTATTTATTGTATTATATACTGCTAGTACTATAAGGAGCCTTTTACAGAGGTGGAGGTGACCCAAGAGATTCACTAGACCTCTTTGTGGGGTCTGAGGATTTGATGATATAGGGTATGTTTGGTTTGAGTTTGGGAGATGAGTTTTAGAAATAAAAAGTACGAAAAGTTGTTTGGTTTGATTTTTTTCAAAAGATGTTTTGAAAAATTATTTTGAGAGAGAGTTTTGGAAAAAGTGATTGATTTGATGTGTATGAGAGAGAGATTTGTTTGGAAAACTTGTAAACCAAACAAGTTTTG